ACACAGAGAAACCCTGTCTCAAAACACCAAACCAACCAAACAACAACAACAACAAAACAAAAATAAACAAAATACTCCCATATTACTCAGGCAGTGGCTTTCTGGATTCTAGTTTAACATAGACTATATTTTTTCTAAAGAAAGGGCAAGTCGGGCACAGGAGACTTCCCTTATGGGTCTGGAGAACAAGGAAAACAGACAAGCAGATTCAGACTTGGGCTGGGAAGCCTGCATGGTAGTAGATACTGGCAAAGATGTCTGTCCTCTGTATACTGTCATGTAACTAAGTTCTTTTCCTTTGTAGGTTTCACAAGCTAATCTGGGGAAGCTTTGGCAATGGGCTTCTGGAAAACTCTGGGGTTATTGCTGGTGGTGGAGACAATGGCATGCTTACTTTGTACAATGTGACCCACATCCTTTCTTCAGGAAAGGAGCCCTTGATTGCCCAGAGACAGAAACACACAGGGGCCGTCAGGGCCTTGGACTTTAATCCTTTCCAGGTACTGTGTCTCAGTTGATCTGATCGAGCACGGCACGGCATTCTGAATGGGAGTGTTCTCTTGTGGCTTCTAGGCTGTAGCTCTGAACCCTTCCAGGCTGCGATGGGGGAGGCTCTGGGTTTCCCAAGTGTGGCTCTCCTCCCTCTCTCTTTCTGAGATGGGAGGGCGTCTTTAGAAATATCTTTTATATTTATATTTATATCCACACAGGGCAATCTCCTGGCTTCAGGAGCCAGTGATTCTGAAATCTTCATTTGGGATTTGAACAACCTGAGTGTTCCAATGACCCCTGGATCCAAGTCACAGGTGAGGAGGCTCCCTCCAGCCTGGGGCTGCCATTTAGTGTGTGCAGCTGGTTTTCCCAGGTGAAGTTTTGAATTCTGGAGCCGGCAGAGTACCAGAGATTTCAGGCTTTACCACTGGAGGGCAATAAAACTCCACAGACTGACACTCTACTAGCCACCCAAGAGTCAGGAGAGGGGGGGTGCCTAGTACTTGGTTCATGGTGGTTGTTAGCTGTTCAAAGAATTTCTGGAAGGAAGTGAAGGGCAGGGGGATCAAAAGACACCAAGAAAGGCAAGGCGTGATATTTATCACAGTTGAGGGGACAGGGCTGGGTAGGTCCTGTGCTCAGTAGGGATGGAGCCAGAGTGCAACCCTGGACACATCACCATCCTTTTTGTGGGCGGGGGGGGGGGAAGAGCGGCCTCTCTGTGTGGCTCTTGGGTCTGGCAGGGCTCTGGGTAGGGCTCTCTGTCAGTCTGTAGCTTGGCTTATCTTTTTACTTTTCCCTGTCTTGTACTTTATTATGAAGCAATCGTGAGTCGGCTAGCACTCGGTACCCCAAAAGTTCTCTTTCTGCTTCCCTTTTCTGGGGCTCTTCGTATCTGTTTTCCTTTCTCAGATTTCCCCCCCTCTCCTTCTCTGTCCTAGAGAGGGGGGTTATTTTTTAATCTTGACTCTATACTTTTAAGAGAACTCAGGTGTGATGCTAAACCCAGGTATACCAGCTGTTACCTCCCACTTCCATACCAATATTTTTTCTAAAAAATAAATTTATTTATTTTACATCCCATCCACAGTTTCCCCTCCCTCCTCACTTCCCAGTACCTGCCCCCACCCCACTCTCTGTTCCTATCTCTCCCCACCCACCACCGCCACCAATCCACTCCTCCTCCATTTCTGTTTAGGAAAGGGCAGGTCTCCCATGAGTATCAATAAAACATGGCATATCAAGTTGCAGTGAGACTAAGCACCTCCCCATGTAGTAAGGCTGGGCAAGGGGACCCAGCATGTAGAAGATTACAAACAGATCCTTATCTATCACCGACCCAAAAACGCAAGTCCAAGTGATCAAATCCAGATACACTGAACCTGATAGAAGAGAAAGTGGAAATCATCTCAAACACATTAGCACAGGAGACCACTTCCTGAACAGAACACCAATAGCACAGGCACTAAGATCGACAATTAATAAATGGGACCTCGTGATATTGAAAAGTTTCTGTAAGACGAAGAAAGGATAGTATCACTAGAACAAAATGGCAGCCTACAGAATGGGGAAAGAGTACTGTACCAATATTTTAAAGCATCTTTCTGGGAAAATGTACCTCAGCTCTGAGCCTGTCTTAGTGGGGGGAACCTCTTGCCTCCTTGGGGCTTGGTGTGGGCTGTAGAGAGGAGTAGAATGGTGGATGTCACTTAATCAGGTTATGACAGCTGTCGTTTTTACTATCTTACCCCAGACACCCCCAGAAGACATCAAAGCACTGTCTTGGAACCGCCAAGTCCAGCACATCCTGTCTTCTGCTCACCCCAGTGGCAAGGCAGTTGTGTGGGATCTCAGGAAGAATGAGCCCATCATCAAAGTCAGTGACCACAGCAGCAGGGTGAGGAGGAGGCCAGAGCACAGGCCTGAACTCTGGCTTCTCTCTGTTGGAGCTGCTCTCGCCCAAGTCAGGGATCCATTCTCAAGTGTTGGGAGTGAGGATTCAGCCCCATGGCAGAGATCCTATTAGAGTGAATGCTTGGGAAGCTAACCAGCTGATCTAGATTCTTTTTTTTTTTTTTTTTTTTTTTTTTTGGTTTTTTCGAGACAGGGTTTCCCTGTGTAGCTTTGCGCCTTTCCTGGAGCTCACTTGGTAGCCCAGGCTGGCCTCGAACTCACAGAGATCGGCCTGGCTCTGCCTCCCGAGTGCTGGGATTAAAGGCGTGCGCCACCACGCCCGGCGTTGATCTAGATTCTTATAGCATGCCTTGCTTGCTCATAGTCATTACTTATCCCCTGATGGCTGGGTTGTTCCCATCCAGATAGAAGAGACCAAAGGTAGCCTCGGAGTAGTCTGATTCCAGCTGAGCAGAAGGGATGCATAGTCTGAGAAGTTAGGTTCTACCGCCCATCAGGATCTCCTTTGCCCACAGATGAACTGCTCAGGCCTGGCTTGGCACCCGGACATAGCCACCCAGTTAGTGTTGTGCTCAGAAGATGACCGGCTCCCGGTGATCCAGCTGTGGGACCTGCGCTTTGCTTCCTCACCCCTGATGGTGTTGGAGAACCACAGCAGGTAGCGTGTCAAACCCATCCGCACATTCAGCCTCATTTTAGCTGCTAATATCGTCCACGTCTTCCAAGCCATTGCAGAGAGCACAGCCAATACTAGCTTTCTCTCTAAGAGGAGTTCCTTTGGAGTCTGGACCTATGGAGAAGAGCCTGGAATTCCATATTCTCCCAGGGATGGGGTCATGAGAAATATTAGAGCAAATTAACCCTTGTGTTAGTTTCTATCACTAACTACCTGAAGGAATTAACTTGTAAAGGAAAAGCTTTGTTCCCTGTTCATGATTGACTAGTATCCTTACTTTGGGGACTGTGATGTGGTAGCAAATTTTATCAGGAGTGCATAGGGACCAAAGCCATTCATCTCACGGCCAGGGAGCAGAAGAGATCTAGGAAGAGAGCATCTTCTTCAGAGCCTTCACTGTTCTATCTGTCCTGTCATTTGAGGCCTCTCTACTTCCCAGGAGCCCCTCTCTGAGGACCAGACTTTAACACATGGACTTTTGGGAGATGCTTGACATCTGAAGTACTGGGATTGAAGGCATCTGCTACCATGCCCGCCCTTAGTTAACGTCTAAGCTATAAACTATGTAGTGGTTCATGCCTCTAATCCTAGCACTCAGGAGGATTGCTGGGCATTCAAGGCCAGCCTGGGCTACATAATGAGGAGGAGGCAAAGCCTGAACACAGATGAGATCCTGTCTCATAAAACAAACAAAACCCAAAGTATAGCAATCTCCTTGGGAAAGTCCTAGGTCCTGCTCTGAGAACAGTGTTCTTTTCTCTGAGTGGGGAGCCTCCTGCAAGACATCTTAATAAGCAGCTTGGCTCCTATCTGTTCAGGAAGACCTGTCTCTGAAGCTATAGTTCTTGGGCCCACCTCAGAGGACACAATGTGTTCTTTTTTTCTTTTCTTTTTTTTTTCTTTTTTTTTTGGTTTCTCTGTGTAGCTTTGTGCCTTCCCTGGAACTCACTCTGTAGCCCAGGCTGGCCTCGAACTCACAGAGATCCGACTGCCTCTGCCTCCCAAGTGCTGGGATTAAAGGCATGTGCCACCACCACCCAGCACAATGTGTTCTAACAAGGGGCCATGGTGCCTTTATTCCTCCTTTAGTTCTCTCTCTCTCTCTCTCTCTCTCTCTCTCTCTCTCTCTCTCTCTCTCTCTCT